CCCACAGAAAATTAACTTGGTGTTTTTAGCTTCAAATTTTGTCTTAATTCAATCTGATATCTTTACATACGCAATACATCTAAAAATATTATCATTAAAATAATTAGTTTTTGTTAACTCCATGTTTTTTTTAAATATTATTTATACAAGAGCACTTATATTATACCAATTGCATATAAACACTAAAATTATAATTATCTCCTATCAAAACTTATTGTTAAGACTTCTACTGTGTAACATATTCTTTACAATTTTACAAAAAAGTAATTAGCATGTTAAATAATTATATTTTTTAAAATATAATAATATAATAAAATTATTTGTCTTACAACATCTTCATTCTTCAAATATTCATTAGGTTTTTGAAATTTGAACTCACTTTCTATTACTTATGTACAACATTTTATCTTATGTTATAAATATATTTTACTAGTGCTTTGGAATTTTGAAATATTAAAATGTAATAATTATTTTTATTAAGTAAATATATTCAAATTTTATTTTCAAAAATTATATATAAAAATAAAAGAATAAAATTTACTTTTAATGTATGTGATCTAAATGGATCTACATATATTAAGATTTAATAAAGTCTAAATCCTACTTGTACATATTTTTCTACCACTAAAAATTATTTATTATTTATTATTTTCATTCAATAATTTTTTTACAAGCAATTAGAGTTAGATTTAGACTTAGATCACAATTGTGGTTAATTTTATGTTATTTACATTGAGATTGTTAAGGCAATAATTCCAAATTCTAAACTTATTTTAGTTGGATAAAAATTTACCAAATAAAATCACTTCTATGCCATTTACCTTTTCATATGTAAGTTGTTTTACACATCTATGGCCACCAAATGTTCATTTAAAGCATTTACTAAATACTCATCTACATTTAAATAAATCATAAAAGTTCCTATGAAAATTTTAATTACCAAAAATATATTTGATTCTATGTTTGTCATATATATATATATATATATATATAAACTTGATTTTTTTATTTTTTTGTTTCTAATCCTTTATAATAATTTTTACAACAGTAGATTTTATTTTAATATTTTCAGTAACATTATTACCTTTTTAATGTATCTTTGTTAATCTAATACACTTATTGGTGTTAAATAAGTAATTAAATACTAACATATGCTTAAAAACAACCAAATCCAAAACACATTTAAACATAGCAACTATTGAGTTTTTTTCACTTGCCACAAATGCATTCCTATTTCTCTCAAATTCATCCGTCACACTACTAAAAACATATCTTCTCTTTTATCTTGGTTTTAAAACAACTTTGAGCATTGAAACCAAGTTTTTTACTAATAAAGTAAGCTCTTATACAGAAATTTGTTAGGAGTACTTTTATTGTTTTGGAGTTCTTTCTTCTTGCTTTTTGTGACTTCATGGCTTAATCTTGTTAGTACACAATTAAGTATGAGATCTTTGATGTGACTAAATTCTAGAGCCTGGATTATAGCATTATGTGAATTCAATAAATTGATCACCAATACCATCATTATATCCTAATGTATACATTATCTACAATTATATCTACATAATTATATACATTATCTACAATATCTACAATAGCAAGTTGGATTATAAAGGCCTTCATGTTGTTGATGTGTGCAATTAAGTCTATAGCTTTTTTTTAATATTGTATATAAATTCTACTGTATAACTATAGTATTAAATGGTTTATTTTTTATAAATGTTATAATGTATAGTTAAAATCTTTATCGGTATCTTGTACAATTTAATATGTCTAAAATTAATGTGATCCAAGCTGAAATCAATTATGCCAAAAATAATTCTTTACAAGTCAATAATATTCTGTATTTTTACTTTAGAATCTATATCTTCAAAATTATTTGCAATTCCTCAAAAGTTCAATGTTATATACAATATCATCATTTTTATATTTAATAATAAAAGACATTTTAAAAACTCTTTTTAAAAGTCCTAAAATTTGTATATAAAGGATTATTTTTACTCCATATACATATAGTTTAAATAGATCAAATATATATATATATATATATATATATATATATTAAAATGACCCATTGATTTATTAAATTGACCTACTGTATTGTAGGGAATGAGGGGGGTCAAAATGACATCATGATTGTAATGATAGTAAATGGGAGGGTCATTTTAACATTCATTTATACATATAAACAATCAAGTTTTGAACACATATCATTTCATCTCTATGCAAATATCATTTGTTTGCATTTATTTATTATTAATTGACTAAAGAATTATTTCGAATAATTACTTTTAACTAATAATAACTCTTTGAACAAAAATATGATGGTTTTTAATTTTTAATTTTTTTATTTATTTATTTCACAACCTTATTATACACATATTGTAATTCATACATCTGGTCGAAACTGTAGCATTGTTTTCTTACAGATGCTAAGGCAATGAAATCTCCTACCTCCATCAGCCCAAGCATTCCTCAAGCCCTAGAATCTCTTTTGGGCCCCACATTGCAGCCCATGAGTTGTTGGGAAGCTTCGCTCCATTATCACGCTGGTCCAAACCCTAATCGATGACGACGACGACGACGGCGACATGGGTGGTGGTGGTCGTCGAATGCTTGAAGTCCTCGCGAGATCGTTGCAGCCTCAAGGACTGTTTGTGAGATTTGGACCTCCACGTGTGCCACCATCGAATTTCTTCTTCATGCCGAACATTTGTGAGGTTTGAGCTTCACCAATGCCGACGTCTTTCCCTGATGTGGACGAATTCGAAAGGAAATGATGTGCTCAGCGAGAGGAACTAGCGTCTTCGAGATTTGAGCTTGTCTTCTTCGGTTGCTGTGTTGTTGTCGTTTTCCGATTTCAGTCCATCCTGCTGGAAACTAGGGTTTTTTCTGGTCTCGGGAACAAGAGCCCCAAGTTTTGCTCGGGTAAGAGGTTGTCGCCGCAAGAAAAATCTCCTTGTGAGTTGGTAAAAGCACCACGCAGACGCGCGGATAGGCAGGAGGGATGGTTATGCGAAGCACTTCGCTGCCGCTCGGAGGATAAGTGGCCGTCCTTCCACCTCCGCAACTACACCACCAACACAAATCTGCTCGGAACGTGGGAACGATGAGCAGCAGCGACATCGAATCTTTTCGCACGACGCGTGCGGGCACGGCGCCGGCGATATTTTCAGCCAATCTAGGGTTTCGCAGTCGAGTAAGCGCTCCCAGTGCGTGTGGTTCGTGTGTGCTTACCCAAGCGCAGGCAAACGTAGTCATACGTGACGTGCGCGAATCGAGTCACCAGGGGAGTCGTGGACTAGACTCTGCGCACCCAATGATTATCCATGCTCTCACGAATACAACTCTTCGAAGAAAAAGAAGAATTCGCCGTAGTAAACCCTATCTGCCATATTACGCAACGATCTACCGAGTCCCCGCGAGCAGAAACCAACGGAGATGACGAGCACACTCACATGGGTCCTGACCAAGTTGCATTTCGACTCTATGCCGACAGTGAAAACCTGGGTTGCGGTGAAGCAGACGACACAATCGAAGCAGCAAGCATTGCGGCGACGGATCTTGAGCTGTTTTGCCACTGCTTTTTCCGGGCCTCTAACCCTGAAATTTGTTGTTCTGGAATTGTGCGTACTCTGTCCTAATACTCAAATTAAATAAAAAATAGGCAGCTCGGTGTGACATGTTTTCAAGAAATGATAGTAAATGCATCCAGTCTACACAGTCTCTGAAGTTCTAATAACTGAGTAGAGTTTTTATTTTTTGTTCTTTCACAAATACATAGTTTAAAATGAATGAACAGGGAGGAAAGGTAAATAAACATTCAATTAATCTATCAAATAACAAAAGAATGATTCACTTGTGGATAGAAACTAGTTTGAAAAGAATCTAGAGTTTGCAGTTCTTAGTAAGGTTCAATGAATAGGAATAATTTCCGAATTTATGGAAGATTTTGAAAGAAAAAGACAGAAGCATGTGTTTTAATAAGTTATTATATGGAGGAAATTTTTGTCACCTATTTCTTTTCAGATTATTGTGCAGTAAACTCTAATTCTGTTTCAATTGCACGACTTGTGATTTATTCTAATTTGTTTTGAATGATACTGCAACTCAAATGAGACAAACACCACGTCCTGCTTTATTTTGGTTCATCACCAAAATACATTCAAACCACTATCTCATTTTTTACTTTTTTATAAAAATAAATTAACGAGTTTGATTCGTTTAAAAGAATCGTGTATGCATAGAAAGAACATAAATAACATGACCCTCCGCTTGACCATCAGTCACATGCATACAATGTTACAGATGTCTTCTTTTGCACCTTACTAGGGGCCATATAAATTATTTCGCTTACATCTGCGTGTGTCACAAGCTTAGCAGTTGACGAGTCTCAGCCCACTCATTAACCAGAGTTCATATCCGTAAAGTTCTGTACTAAAGAGGGTGGGGAGTTCGACTATGGCTGTGATTGAGATTAGCCCAGCTTTGTGATTGACTCCACATGTTCAAATTGTTGCAATTACACAAAGTTTAAAGCCGACCCCTCTCTCTCTCAACTTTGGAACTCAGGCACAGCGTTAGATGGAGGCGACCACATGGTGTGATAGAATGATTCCGCCAATATTCAGGCTGATCCAGACAATTTGGTAGACATGACAACTTTACCTCAAGTAAGCTATCGTTCAACTTGGTATTCATCAAGCATAGCAAGGATCTATTAAAGTTGTACTAAGCAAAAATGTAACGACTAACAACTGACGATTTCATGCTTCACCACAAAACAGTCCCACAGCAGAACTGATGATTTGGTAACCACACTTGGTGCAGCAAAATCACGTCACCACTATCTCAAAAACCCTCACATGACCAGACAAAGCACCATCATGAACGATTTCGACTACCATATGACTTGATCCTTCAGTGTCCAAAAGCCTAACTTGCACCTGAGACACAAAGTTGAAATCCATGCACAAGATTTTCAAAGCTAGTCGGAGAGATTGGTCAATGTGGCAGAAACGACCACAACAGTATAACTATTGACGGGGAATACACACTGCAACCAAGTTGGATCAAAGTGACAGGATAATGCTTTGATATTTTGCGAGCCAAAAGGCACTGGAGAACAAAAGCGACTGCCTGCTCAACCAGAGATGAAAGATTTGATTCTACATCTACGTCCCAGATAATATTTTTTTTAAAAAGAAAAATGACACTGTGCTATTAATTCCATTACTCTGACCTTGCTGCAAAGCGTTCAACCTTCTTGTCACTAAGGTTGATGCCCACCATAGCTTCCCCAAGGTTCTCGCTCACTTCAGCAAGTACACGGGCGTCGTTGTAGTGTGTCACAGCTTCCACAATAGCACGTGCCCGCTTGGCAGGATCGCCACTCTTGAAAATTCCAGAACCAACGAATACTCCATCACACCCTAGCTGCATCATGAGAGCTGCATCGGCAGGCGTGGCAACACCTCCGGCGGCGAAATTGACGACTGGGAGTCTACCTAGCTGCTTGGTCTGCCTCACGAGCTCATATGGAGCTTGAATTTCCTTCGCATAGGTGAAAACTTCGTCATCGTCCAAGCTTTGCAACCTACGAATATCTCCTAGCACAGACCTCGTGTGCCTGACAGCTTCCACCACATTCCCAGTGCCAGCTTCACCCTTAGTTCTGATCATGGCAGCGCCCTCGGCAATTCGCCTCAGAGCCTCCCCGAGGTTACGGCATCCACACACAAATGGGATTCTGTAGTTGTGCTTGTTGATGTGGTGGACATCGTCGGCTGGTGTCAGTACCTCGCTCTCGTCAATGTAATCCACGCCAATGGCTTCAAGAATTTGTGCCTCCACAAAGTGACCTGATCAATCCAGCGTCTGAAATAGTTAAAAAATGTCCGCCAAATGCATCACCCTAGTCATTCTCTAAACCAGAGTAACTACATAATCACCACCACCTCGTCCAGGTTGAAATTAAGAGGCCCACGAAGATATTCGACTAAGACCGCGCAAATAAATAAAACATGGGGGAGAAGCATACCTGACTAAAGGTCTATTAAAATCAGCCACACTGTCAAATCCTACCAGAAGCCATAACCCCTTTCAACAAACTGTATGCACGTTAAACCCTCGCAAACTTTTTAATGCTCTTAAATCTTCATGTGCAAGACCTGAGTTACCCAAGCTCACAAACACACTTCGCTACAGAGTTCTCCAAGTTCTCGACGCTATTAGAAAAAGAAAAGCGTGCCAAGGGCGACAAGACGAGCAACACACCGATTCTGGCCTTTGCCATGACAGGAATGGTCACAGCCTTCTTGATCTCCTTGATCATCGACGGGTCACTCATCCTGGCCACACCGCCCTCAGCGCGGATATCGGCAGGCACGCGCTCCAACGCCATCACGGCGACAGCTCCCGCCTCCTCAGCAATCCGCGCCTGGGCAACATCCACGACGTCCATGATCACTCCACCGCGCAGCATCTGCGCCAAGCCCACCTTCACAGCATACGAGACGGTCTTCTTATTCTGGTTCTCTGAGAGCCCGCTGCCATTGTTCAGGACAGCCACGACGCGGTTCTCCTCCATCTCTCTTCCCCCTAATTTGAAGCCTCGAGCTCAAAACCCACAAACAACTATCCACGCCCACTCGCGAGACAAACTTCAATTGGGGTACTGTGCTGCTGCGAGTCCTTCCTTCACGTTTCCAATCTCACGACCAGCAGCAATTCGAGTGAGGGAGGGAGGGAGGGAGGGGAGAAGCACAACAATGCGAGGTTCGTGACAGCCCTCACAAGCTCGATGGCAGGGCGTTTTGGGGGATCCGGTGTGGGCGGGCGGCGGCGAGGCGGCGAATGAGGCGAGTGGGGCACGGTTATAGGGTCCCGCGGTAGAACCAGATTCTCTCAAGTGATCATGGAGATGCGGCGGCCACATCACCCGCCCGTTCACTATTGGATGTTCCCGGAGCACGTTCTAACGTTCCCTTGGTCGCCCTAAAGGACGCAAGCATATCGAGGATGAACTACGTTCGTTTGTCGCACAAATTGACTCCATGTGGATGAAAACGTAGATTTTTTATAAAAGTTTGTTGCCTATTGTTTTGTTGTTTGTGTTCCTTTGGGGGCAAACTCGACACCTTGGGTATCAGAGAGTGATGGAAACGAAGATTGTGTGCTTATGTATATATACACACACATGCACATATTAACTTTTGAATATATTTTTTTGTTTAAATCGTAATCATTCATTTGATTTTATTTGAATTGCTGTGATTTTACAGTTGAGAGCTTTACATTATGTCAAGACCTAACTAGGAAAAAAGGAAGTTAATTATCAAAATCAAACGATATCTGAATGTCGGTGAAGGAAGTGTGTAGAATCTCATCCCGAAAAATAACCTTGTTCCAGTGATCACCTTGAGTTTGGCAGTAAATTTTTTTATTTTTTTATTTTTTTGTAATCTTTTTAAAATTTGCTAACATGTAATGTTTTGATGACCCCAAAAAACTTACAAAAACATACTAAAAACTCTCGTTGATCCACAAAATCAGTCTTATTTCATTTTTTTATTTTCTTCTTCTTAAAAACAGTTTGTGCCCAAGTTTCATTTTAAGGCCAAGTTTTTATAGGAGAAACTCTGATCGCTGTTGTAACTCGGCATCTAAACCTCTTGGAACAATTAACAGACACCCTTTTGGTTTGAATATGGTTAAAGAAAGACAGACTTTAGATTCCACAACAAAAATACTCTATTTTTATTTTTATTTTTAGATCAGGTGGTTTTCAACAAAGTATTCTATTTTATATAGCTTTAGAATTTGCACAACATATTCTGGATATTGATTGAACTGTATGAATTATTTATCAAACAAACATCCCTACAAAAGAAAATCTCGAAACTATTTAAATTTTCTCACTCTATATTTTGCCTTAAATTATTTCATAAAGATCACAACCAAACATAAAATGATCCATGATTCACATAACACATTTCACAAATCACTCCGCTTGTTTTCAATCAAAGCTCTCTACTACGTGTTGCACTTTAGGTTACTAAACCCACTACTTAAAAAACTTACAAAAAATTAATTTTGGCATAGTAATTTTAAAATAAGAGCAATGATTGATTAAATGCAAACCATGTACATTATGTACATATTTATACTTGTGAACACTTCCAAAAAAAGAAATATCAATATGTATAAAGTAGAAAAGGCTTATAAACGAAATTGTTTTATGAAATGTTCAAAGGTTATCAAGAATTATTATAAATACTGCAAGCATCATTTGGCATGCTCATGGTATTCATAATAACCCTTTTTACACCTTGTACGCACATACATGTAGCTAGATGCAGATAATGCAATGGAGTTGTGGAAGCTTCGAGGACAGGTAGCCACATCGTCCGGAACCGGTTTCACACCAGCCACCGACGCTCATGGTTATGTGGCTCTTCTCCCTTCATTGCATTGTCTGGCTTGGCTTGGCTTGCGAATTGCTGCCTCCGGTGCCCTCCCCAAGATGCCAGCATCCCATCCCGCTTGTGCATTGGGAGTTAATGCCGCATTGTTTCTCCTCGATGGCTGAGATGTGCGAATTGTACCGAGCTCAGGAAAGTCATCAACTCCAAACAGCGGCTTCGAGGCTGCCCATTTTTGCAACACTCCGTTCTGAGGAGGTAATGCCGGTTGAAGTGGCTTCGATTCCTCCTCGGTGAACGATCCGAATACAATCTGGTGGAGACCAAGGAGATCACTACCAGACGAAGACTGAGGAGCTTAATTCCTTGGTTGAGTAATCCCGGACTAAATTCACGGGAGTTGGTGTGAATGGGAGCGCAGGTACTACATGCCCATGATTTCAACCAGAAGAAAGGAGCATAACAATCCGAGTAGAAATTCTGGGAAGAGACGAAGATATGAGAGGCGGATTAGATCAAGACAATGCATGGATGGGGGTGTGAACTAGTTGACGGGCTTTCTGTTATTGTATGGCGTTTGGAATCTGCGTGTTGCTCGGATCAAAGATGTGAAAAAGGTTTAATTCACGCAACCAATAGCAATTTGAAATCAACAAACGTCGAAATTCGCAATACTTGTGCCCTTCTTTAATCCAGGATTATTCGACAACTGCAACTACAGACTGATCGCAGCTTCGAATCGTCAACTTCAACTTCAACTTCAGAGACCCCCCTAAGAATGCACGACCATGCCGACAGATCATGCCGACAGCTCATGCCTTCCATTCATGCATCCCGATCCTAACTTAGGATACACAGACCAATCCATGAACCCCCTTCCCTAGGCACCCAGGGAATACCAAACTCAGAGTAAGGACGTGATAGAACCTGCTTCCCCATGAGAGCCCGAGAAATTGCAAGGTCAATCGATATTCTGCAATAAAATAAAAAAATAAAAAACGAACATCCCGAGGCGCCGCACAGAGAGTGATAGAAATACCTTATTAGGAGGTTTTTCTGATGACAATAAGCGCGATTTTTCAATGCAGCGGTAGTCTCAGGAGACGAAGGCCCTGGTCGGCCCCCCATGACTCTCTCACCACAAACTGTTTTCCGCAATCCAACAGACTTCTACTGACATGCTCTTCTCCACCAATCCGCTCGTCCTTCCCCCCCGCCGCACTCTCTAACCCATTCCTCTCTCTCTCTCTCTCTCCCCTCCACGCACGGCGTTCTCTCGCTCTCTCTCGAATTGAATTCTCCGCGCTTAATCGCTGCAGCTATGGCGATGGCTATGGCGAAATCCCTGCACTCACTCAGTCCATAACGAATTAAGGAAGGGGCTTCGTCCCTCACCAAAGCGACAAGCTGCATACCGACACCTGAAGCTCCTCCCGCTTTGCCTTTCACTTTAAAGTTTCATAACTTTTTGAGCCTCGGGGAGATGTTCCCCTTAATGTTCCCATATTGTTCACATAGTTCCCATGTCCATGTTTCTACATTATTGACATTATCAAATAATGTTGAGTATTGGGTACTCAAAGTCCTTGTGGGTTTGTCATTCTAGTTGAGGCATCGTTTAAAACTGATACATCTTATGTTTTAACTTTCAGGCCTCAAGACTTGATTTATTTGTACTTTTTTTGGCATACACTATGCCATAAACGTTTTTGTTTAAAAATCAAGATTTAATTACAAACACAATTTGCAGGTACAAAATTTGTGATTTATATTTTAAAATTTTAAATTATGTTCGTATGTATAGAAAAAAAAATTAACTCAAATAAATTTAAATTTTATTATTTTATTTTTATTTTTTTACAATTATAAATATTATTTATAATATTTAAATATATAAAAAAGTAAAAGTAGATAAAAAAAATTAGTAATGTTTTTTTTTCAAGAAACATCAAGAAAACTTCATTTAATTTTTGTAGATTTAATCTTTAAATGTTTTTAGGTGTGCTATGCAGCAAAAAAATAACAATAATAAAAAAACTCTTATATGTTAATAATATTATAAAATCTATTTTTAGAATATATTACAAATTAAATATATATCTAATATTAGAGATATGAATGTAGTCAAATTTTTGTAAAAATAATATATTCATATACAAGTAAGAAATAAAAGAAGATCAGGAAGAAGCATAATTATAAAATAAGTAGATATTAAAGTGGTCCTTGTCAAATATAATCAATTAGAGGGATTTAAATTGAAACCAAAGGATAAGAAAAGTGTTAATAAGTTGAGGCCATTCTCAATCTTGCACATACATACATTCTAATGCAAAAAATGGCCTTAATCTTACTTTTGTGAATTAAAAATTTAATTGTAAGATACTATTTTATCAGCTTCTTAATTTCTTTTTTCTTTTTGAGAAAAAATTGCATGGTAGATTACATATTTTAAAACATCTAAACATCCGATTTGTTTGTAAGTAGCTTCTTTGATATTTTTTAACTATGATATCAATACGTAATTGTATTAATATTAAATTTAAATCTATTTTTAATTTTGTATTAATATTAAAAAATACATTTTAATTATATGGACTTAATAATAATTAATATAATGCCTCCATCTTTTATGAATTTATATGTATGTATGTATATATATATATATATATATATATATATATATATATTTAAAAAAACATCATTTAATTGTATGGCTATATATTTTTATTTTTATGGATTTGTTTGAACTTATGTTTATAAAACTTATTTAAACAATACTCCTCTTCTTCATCCATATTTTTTTATCTTCTTGCATTCAACAATGAAATTGTATTAGGAACCACCATGAACACATTCTTCCCAAGTTTGATTTTGCTTGCTATTCTTAATAAATTGTTATTGTAGAAAGAAGAGAATTATTGTAGGAAAAGGGGGCTCGGAAGAAGGCTATTGCAATTTGACATAAAGAGATTTCTTACACAATCAAAGTATAAGAAGGAAGGATAAGTTATTGCTAGAAGAAAAAAATTATTATAGAAGAGAAGAGCCAATGAAAGTTTAAGTGTATATTATATCAAATGCAACAAGCCATGTATAACACAATATGTAGCTATCAAGGACATGAATCCCATAGAACTAAAAATTCAATACATTCTTGTATTACTTAAAAAGAATAGATATTTATCTAAAATTAATATTGTATTAAACTTGGAATAATTATTATCAAAGACAAGATGATTAACAAGTCTTAAAACAAGAATAAGGACTAGAAAGACATTAACAAGTTTGAAGAAGGCTTTATTCTTGCCTCCATATATATTATCTAACTAGAAGCTACGTGATGACATTCTATACAACCTGTAATATGTGTCTAACTTGCAAAGCATGTGTCTCAACTTGCAAGGAAAATTTTTACATGTATACCACATAATTAGCTTATACTACAAGCTATCAACATGTACAATACAAGGTTATCTTATTTATCAAGTTTCTAACCTACCAATCAACTATAAATACATGTAAAGTCAAAGCCAAGTCTTTGAAGCTTCTAAGAAGATTTTTTATAAGATATTATTAAATTTATATACTTTAATTTACTTCTATCTAATCATATTATCTAAATAATTATTGAAGTAAATATATATGTCTATGACATTACTCCCTCTTCAAGAGACATGTTCCACAAGGAGTAGTGATTACATGTTGATGAAGTCCAAGATGCAGCAAATTATATTTGTGACATACTTTGAACTTTGTTTTCTTTGAATGTAGTTGATAGGTCCTCTTGGCCATTGATAATGTTCTATTTTAAAGCAAGAAAACTATTCTGTTATTTGGTCATTATTGAATCCATTGTAACTTCTTTCAAATAAAATATTTATAATACCATTAAGAGTCATTTCTACCTGCAATAAAATCACCAAATATTGAGAGTTTTTTCCAAGGTCATAGTACCAAACACATTATATCTCACCATCTATTCAATATAGGACATGTCATTCTTGAAGATCTTCATTTCTATTATGCCGACTTGAAGGTTGTGAAAATTATAATGTCTCATTGAATAAGTCAACAAACAATAGTTCTTAAGTTAAATATGCTAGTTGCTGATTTTTCATCTTCCTACTAGCACAAATATACAAAAATTACAAACAATACTAGAAGGTAGAATGCTATTTTTTTTGGATCTTATTTTTTTATATAATAAATATTTATTATTCAATATTTATTAAACTTGATTTTAATAGATATTATTGATAAAAAATATCAATCTTTTTTGTTACATTTGCAAGATTTTTGGCTAATTTCTATATGCATTCATTAATATCATATCAGTATCAATGAGCAAAATATTCCAACTTATTTCAACACAACCTTGAATCTAAGATTTTTTCAACTTCATATCCTTGATTATTGTCTATTTCTATAAGAAGAGGTGGCATTTATTATCTTTTTAGTATATCTATTGCCTTATATGGCTTAAGAAGAGACAATTAAAATACAAAATAGATCTTTATAGACTTAGATAAGTATAATTTATAAGCAGTTAGATTGTTTTATTCATAAATAAAAAATGATCCAAGTCTATTATAATCTAATTTGTCACAAACACAAATAGTCTTGATATTACAACAAAGTAATTATATCTTATTGCTAATATGGAATTAAGGTTGTTTCTTGTGATAAGCATTTGCATTGATCTTTTGTTGTTTTTGAGCTATTTTTACTTGTGCCATCATTTTTGAATGTAGTTTTAACAAATAATTTGTCAAAACTTTTGTTGCATTTTTATTAACTTTTGAAAAGTCAAAAGTATCAAGTCAAGGATGATAACCATAATTTGTAAAAAAAAGCATTTGTTGAATAGAAGAATGTATTATATTATTATAAGCAAACTCTACCAATGATAAAATAGTGGTTCAATTATCTTATTAATAATGCATGATGCACCTCTAATATTACTCCAAAATTTAATTTATCCACTTTGTTTATCTATTAATTTAAAGATGCAAAGTCAAAGATAGTTTTATATCTAAATTTAGAATCTTAAAAATAAATTTTAAAAATCTTAATACAAATTGAGTCTTTTTAATTAATATAATATTTTTTAGTAATCTATGATAGCAATAAATATTGTCAAAGAAAAACTTTATTATTTTTTTACTAGTAATAATTTTTGTATATGGTACAAAATATCCTATCTTATTAAATTGATCTACTATTATAAATATAGAACTATAAGAATTTGAGATTAAAAGATCCATGATAAAATCAAAAGAAATAGAAGATTATAATTATTCTAAAATATGTAATGGTTGAAAAAGTTCATAAGGTCAATGATAAGGAATTCTTAATCTTGAAAAAATATCACATGATTGTACAAAATCTTTAATTACCTTTCATATTTGAAGCTTCTAAAAATCTTTAGATATTAGTTCTAAAATCTTGTTGTATCCAAAATATTTGGATGCTAGAAAGTCATGAAAAATTTAAAGAACACATAATTATATATTACCTTTCAAAATAGAAAATTCTTCCTTAAAATAAAAGAAATTATTTTTGAACTCAAACTTAAAAAAATCATGATATTTAGAAGAATTATTTTTAATATTATGAATAAAAAGATCATAGGACATACTTGATTAAACTTACTTGAGAAAGGTTGAATCAATTATCAATGTTGATTTCATTGCTCAAAGATGAAAATGCTTTAATTTCAAAAAAAATATTTTATATTCATCAAAAGCTGCATTTCTTACTTTTAATACAAGTTAAAAAATATTTAAAAAGACATTTCACAAACCTTGTTGTTTTTTGAATCAATAAGTGATCTTGGAATCAAATCTTGATAAAGACATGCTCCAACGGACTTGACAACAATTTAAAACATATATTGCCATGAAATACTTGAGATTCTTATAATAGATATATACAATGATTGGATTGGAAGCACCTTTTAAATAATGATTCTATTTTTGAAATAAATACATAATTACAAAAATATCTTTATTGTGGATCTTATTGTTAATCTTGGTTGCTGAAACTTTTTTGGAATAAAAAGCTATTAGGTGGAGCTTATCATTTGCTCCCATTTGTAACAACATTGCATCTATAACAAAATTTGGTGTATCCTTTTTTATAAAGAATATCTCCAAAAAGTCAATGTAATATAAAATTAGTCCAAAAATAAATATTGTCTTTAAAACTTCAAAAGATGCTTTAACTTTATTTCTTTTCTCAAGTTTGATTTTACATATCAACTATGCAAGAGGAGTTCCAACTTAAAAAAAAGTTCTTGATGAAGATTTGATAATAATTGAAAAGTTTTTAGAAAATATTGGACATCTTGTATTATTTTTGAGACCTTTCAATTCATGATAGTTTAAACCTCCTTAAGATCTATCAT